AAATAGCATTGTAGATTAACTAACAAAGAATAATAACAGACAATAAAAATTCAATAAGAGTTAGGAGTTATGACAACATTTAGAGTGTGGATCTGGATATAGGTGTCTTAAAGGGAGTGGAATTAAGTTTGAGATATACATTAACCCATTCTTCATTGACAAGTACTTTGCCACTTAAAAATAATTCAGGAATAATACATAATTGGATTAGTGACATCAGCAAGATAGCAGAGTAAGAAACTCTGAACCCTCTCTCCCCTTGCAAATACAGATTCAGCAACAATTTGTGAAAAATCCAGGAACTAATAAAATGCCCTACACCCCAGAAAAATGCAAAACCAGACTGACCAAACCCAGTAGAGAGGTTTGGGATACCCTCTACCAGAATTCTTACTGTTGACACAGCACCTTATGATCAAAAAGAAACTCCTAATTCTCAGTTTCTCCCAAGGGAGGAAGGAGTCGGTTTGTACATCCAAACCCCCAACTTTTCTGAGAGGGCTCTCCAGAGGACTGACTTCTATCTTGCCAGTCTTTGAGCTCAAGATCAGCACAGCCTATCTACCTAGGGAAGAAGGGAGGCAGTGACTTGGGCTAGTAAGCACCATAGAATAATGCCCCCCTGCTCATTACAGGGCAAGCAGACAAAACCCATAGCTGCCTGCTTCTCTCTGGGGAAAGAAATGTTGGAAGAGGACTCTAGAAGTTGTAGCCTGGCTTCTTGGTAAAAGTTTTCTCCTGTATGAGGCCAGTCCATGAAGATTTGGAGAGGTGCCTGCTTTGTTTAACATATAGGCATCAATGGAGAGAGTCAAAGAAAATCAAGAGTCAAGCAAAGATGTTCCAAAAAATAAAAATAAAAAGGAAAATAAATCTCCAGAAACTGACCCTAAAGAAATGGAGTAACACGATTTGCCTGAAAGAAAATTCAAAATAATTGTCATAAAGATGCTCACTAGGGTCAAGAGAACAATGCATGAACAAAGTGAGAAATTCAACAAAGAGATAGAAAATATTAAAAAGTACGATACGGAAACCATGGAGCTAAAGAACATATTAAATGTACCAAAAAGAAAAAAGAAAAAAAAGTCCATTTGACTTCTACAAGTCCTCTTCCAACATTTCCTTTCCCAGAAAGAAGCAGGCAGCTGTGGGTTGTGTCTTCTTGCCCAACATTACACTAGATCAAAGAGAAGAAAGGATCAGTGAACTCAAAGACAGATCATTGGAAATAATTAAGTCAGAGGATTAAAAAGAAAACAGAATATAAAAGAATGAAGAAAGCTTTAGGGTGTTCGTGGATACCATCAAGGGACCAATATATAAATTTTTGGATTCCCAGAAGAAGAGAGAGATAAAAGATCTGAAAATTTATTCAAGAAATAATGGCTGAAAATTTTCTAAATCTGGGGAAGGAAATGGACATCCAGATCCAAAAAGCTGAAAGAATGCCAATTAGAGAAATCTAAATAAATCCATATCAAGACACATTATAGTCAGATGGTCAAAAGTCAAAGAGAATTTCGAAAGAAGCAAGAGAAACATGACTTGTCACCTCCAAGAAACCCCCTTTCCCATAAACAATCAGCACATTTTCAGCAGAAGCCCCATAGGCCAGAAGGGAGTGGGAAGATATATTCACAGTGCTGAAAGGAAATAAAAAAGCTACCTAGTAAAGCATACTCAGAAAATCTGTCATTCAAAATGAAGGAAGACAAAGATTTATCCAGACAGAGAAAAGCTGAGAGAGTTCATCACTCTGCTTACAAGAAATGCTAAAGGGAGTCCTTCGGGTTGAAATGAAAGGATGCTAAACAAAATACGAAAGCATGAGAAAGTAGGAAACTACTTTATGTAATACATAAACAAATACAGAGTACTATACTACTGTCATGATAGTGGGCAAATCACTCCTAATTCTACTATAAAAGTTAAAATAGAACTAAAAATAACATTAAAAGATAACACATTATGAATAGATGTAAACCATGACAACAATAATACAAAGTTCATGAAGGGGAGAGGTTAAAATGTAGATTTTATGTATGTGATTGAACTTAAGTTATTATCAGTTTAAAATTGACTATTACAACTATAAGATATTATGTGAACCCCAAGGTAACTACAAAATAATACTTATAGAAGATACACAAAAGGGAAAAAAAAGGTATCCAAACCGCATCAATAAAAAAAATCAACAAAACACAAAGGAAGACAGCAAGAGAGAAGACAGGCAAAAGACTCTAAGACCATCAGAAAACAATTAATAAAATGACACAAGTAATTTTTTCCTATTGATAATTTAAGTGTAAATGGATTAAAATGTCAGTAAAAAGACACAGAGTGGCTGAATGCATCTAAAAACAAAAACAAACAAACAAACAAAAACTCAACTATATGCAGTCCAAAAGAAACTATTCAAAGATGTGGCAACTTCCTAAATGTATATGCACAGATAAATGTATAAAGAAAATGTAAGTGCACCTGGGTGGCTCAGTCGGTTAAGCGTCCGACTTCAGCTCAGGTCATGATCTCCGGTTTGTGAGTTCGAGCCCTGCGTCGGGCTCTGTGCTGACAGCTCAGAGCCTGGAGCCTGCTTCGGATTCTGTGTCTTGCTCTCTCTCTGCCCCTCCCCCGCTCACACTCTGTCTCTCTCTGTCTCTCCCTGTCTCAAAAATAAATAAAGCATTAAAAAAAATTTTTTTTAAAGAAAATGATCTATACATACAATGGAATATTTATTCAGCCTTAAAAAAAGAAGGAAATTCTTCTTTTCAATATGTGATAACCATGAGATCATGACCTCAGCTGAAAGTAAGAGTTGGAGGCTTAACTAACTAAGCAACCCCCAAATTAAGTTTTTGTATAAAGAACATATATATATATATATATATATATATATATATATATACACACATATATATATACATATACA